ACTGATTTGATTAGACATTCAATTATAATAATAATAAAACTAAAAACTAAATTGTAATTAATTTTATTATGCAAATTTATAAAAATCTCACAAATAATATTAAATCTTCAAAAAAATAATTGTTAAAATTACATAATAAAATAAAAATTTAAATAAATAAATCATAAGAATCTAAAAATAAAGTATAATTTACAAAATTAGATTATCTTAATAATATATTTTTTTTAATAAATCTTTTTAAATAAAAATAATAATAATCTAAACTTTTTACTATTATTATAAAAATTATATCAATATCTAATATTAACATAAATATTATATTTCAGAATTTAATTTTAATGCTCAAAACTAGTTTAATGTAATTATTTATTTTAATCATTTTTAAAGATAATACTGCAATTAAGAAGTTACAACTTGATAAGAGTTACAACCAGTTGCAATTTCTTGTAAAATTTATTTTAATATAAATATTCATAAATAGTTGCAACTAGTTAAAAAATTTTAAATTATTTACAGCTCTATCTTTAATTATTTTCATTAAATTTGAATAATAATTTTATTAAAATTGTTTTAAATTTGAAATAACTAATTCAGTTTTATGGTATTATAGCTTTAAATAAGTCTAATTAAGATGGTTTTTAATTAATTTAACTCAACTTAAAAAAATTGAATCAAGTTAAACCAAGTCAAAAAAATTTAAAATCTTAACTTAACTCAAGTTATGTTTAGTAAATAAAAATGTAACAGATAATTTATTTTGATATAAATATAAAATACCATTTTAATAGAATATATTATTGCAATAAAATAATAAATTTATTTTAAAGGAATAATAAAAGAATCATTCTAATCAAAGAATAATAAAAATGTATTCTAATAAAATGATAAAACATCATTCTAAAAAAATGAAAAAAAATTATTATAATAAATTTATATAAAATTATTTTATTAGAATCTTAAAAAAAAATAATAAAAGAATCATAATAATAAAATAATAAAATACCATTCTAAAGGAATAATATATATTTTTCTATTAAATATTTTTTATACTTTAATAAAATTGTTAAATTTTTACTTGATATTAACTTGTTAGATTAATTAAACTCAATTTAAGTTAAATAACTCAAAATTCTTTTGACTTATTTAACTTTAAATTTGCTTAACAAATTATTAATTTGATTTAATATAATATAGGACAAATTGGAGGTTTATGAATAAAATTCCAAATAGTACTCAGAAAGATTCCTGACCGCCTACGAATCTATTTTAGCTATATAAATCAATTATTGAATTTAAACCTCTAGCATGATGTGACTCAAATCTAGATGTTAATATTGAACTTAGCTAGAAATTAGCCTACCTGATACTAAGAACTACAATGTTTGACATAACCATTCTAACCTGATTTTAATTCTAAATAATATATTAAAAAATCTTTACTATTCTGTTTGCTTCAGGAGAGGTCATTAAAAATCAAGGAATAAAATAACGCGATTTGAGCTAGATCTGACATTGCAAACCCAATATGAATAATAACTTTTATGCTATTCTGCTTGCCTCTGAAAGTGTCATTGAAAATTAAGGAACAAAGTGACGCAATTTGAGTTGGATCTGATCATACAAGTCTAAAATGCATACCATATTCTAAGTCTCACCTCTAAATCACACTTCCAAGTTACACCTTTTATCAAGTCACACCTCTAAGTCATATATCTAAAGGATAATAAATTTGTAAACTAAAAGTTTATTGAGCATGTTCTAGCATACTAACAATTTTTCAATATACAGAAAATCTTTCAAACTCATTTTTTTTACAAAAATTTCAGACAAAAAAATTACACCTCTAAGGTATATATATGTTAAATCTTACCTCTAAGTCACACCTTTATCAAGTCTAATCTTTGAGTCTTATTCCACAATTTCTTATAATATTGCATCACATAATATCCTCTAATATGTTCAACATATCACCTACAAGCTGTGGTAGTAAGTTTGCCACAATTAGTACAAGGATAGCGTTTTCTAGTCTTCCAATTAAAGATGAGAGACAAAACTCAAAAAAGGCAATTAATAAGCAGCCAAAACTATATTAAAACATAGTGAGGGGTATGACGAAATCCTGAAACCCAAAATTAGCTGAAACTATATTAAAAACATAGTAAGAGATATGATGAAATTATTTTGAGGGAGTTTCGGCTGGCATCTTTACTTTTAATGTTGCCGATATCATTCAAATTGAGTGCAGGCTTTACTACAAGTCTTGCCAGAGTTATTAAGATAGTCACAAGTATAAGATGCTATTATTTACAATAGGAATGAAAAAATTTAATTAAACAAAATTATCTGTAATATAAAAAAGTGAACGGCAGAATGGCAAATATATCTAAAGGATAATTATTTTTATTTAAACAAAAGTTTGCACAATATTAAACAGGTGAGACTTATTAATTTCATGCCTAGAAGTGATAAGAAAGATTGGACTTGTAGAGATTGCGGTAATAAATTTACAAGATCTGCTAAACTTCGTCAGCATTATAAAAGTAATAAAAATCAAAGCGGACCAGATCCTGAAATTATTACTCAAGAGATATAAGCTTTAACTCCTAAGACTTCAGTCAAAAGGAGATCACATATTTAATAATAGAGGATTTGGCTAACTGGCTAGCGAATTCAAATAAAAAATAGCCCAACTATTACAAACAAAAAGCTCCTTAAAACAAATACTGAATGGTTTGATTTGATGGAAAAATCCTCTAGTAAAAAACAAAAGAAAACCAAATTTCCCAACCAGAAGAGGATCTTGAAGTCAGATCCAGTCTATCAACCTAAGTATATAGAAAGAGAAAATCTGATGAGGTTGAGAGATAAGACATAATTCCAAAAGGATTTGCTCAAGAGAATATTCATTTTGAAGAATGTCCAGTTAGGAGCGATCTAGAAAGGCCATATAGTAATCGCTCTTCATTAAGCAAATGGATAGGAAAAGTTTTCCATCCTAAAAATAATCATACATATGCTTTTATTCAACTAATATTCAATCCAGTAGAATATAAAAATATTCAATACATGTCTTAACTTTCATCTGAAATAACAGAAGTTTTCCAAATAGAGATTCATAGAAAATATCAAATAAAATCATCCACAATAGCATTATGCCTATATTCAATTACTAAAAGAAATCCAAATAGAACGAATAATATATCATATCTAGAAAAAAATCAAGAGGAGGAATGCAGGAAATTCTTTTAGAAGGAGATATAGAAGAGCATATAACCAAAACTATTATGGAAATAGATAAGCAAATTGAGAATACATTAAAAAAAGGATCTGGATATTTTCTCAAACGAATTCTTGAAATATTTATTGAGATATATACTTTACGATGAGCTCTTGGAGGATCTTCATTCTCACCTCTAAAAAGCTTACCAATATAAAATATATTATCAATCCAGATAATTACGTTCTTATAGATCCAGAAACAAATAGACCTTCTGAAAAATGTTTTCAAGGTGCAGTAGGTGTCTATTTCGCTCATCAGGATAGACATAGATAATCTCAAACAAATTTTTAGAGCTAAGAAGCATAAATCTTACTTAGATATTATTAAGCTAGAGGGAATTCCAATGCCTACTCCAATTTGTTCACGAACTTTTTAAAAGATTGAGGAGATGAATCCAGATATCCCCATTAATGTCTGAGAATGGAATAAAGAAATAGCTATTCCAAAACCAGTAATAGCTAGTAAGAATTTTAAGAAACAACATAAAATTCGTCTATTGGCCTTTACAGATATTACTAAAGATGATGAGACAGGTAAATATAGACAAAAGAACCATTTTCTTTAGATTAAAAATCCTAGTAGATTAATTTATAAGGATACTGCTTATAAAGAAAAGAAGTGGCTATGTGATGGATGCATTATAAGCTGATCTTCTAAAAAGTCTCTAGAATATCATTTAGAATGGTATTCAGGAATACATGAAAATGCCTCTCAAAGAGTCGTAATGCCAGTGAAAAGGGTAAATGATTTTAAGAAGTTTAAGAATTATGGTCGAATGATCAATACTCCATGTGTTATTATAGCTGATTTTGAGGTTGATTACAAGAAATGTGATGAAAAATATGATGGAAGTATGTGAAAACTTGCCGAACAGAAGGCTAATAGTTTCTGCTATCTAGTTCACTGGATCAATACTGGTGTCTGTTTCTATACAGGGGAGAAAATATCAGCAGTAATTCGTTTGAAGAATTGATCAGAAGCTGGTCAAAATCAATGAGGTCCTAGCTATCAAACATGAGTGAATTAAGACTGAAGAAGACAAGAAAATATTTGCTTATACTATTAGTTGTTAAATTTGCAAAGATAAGTTCGATATAAATACAAATGAAATCGAACGCTTAGAAGATAAAACTAGGGAACGGAATCCATTCAAAGTCTGAAGCATGGTATGGTATATAAATATATTATCATATTTCACATGCATGATTAATTATTTTGTAACACAAAAGACATAACATGTGATAACGTAAATAAAATGTTATTGGTTATCAGGCTTGCCAAATTTGAACGGACAGAATGACCTTGCATTTGAATGACCTAGTAATAAAATGTCCTCCGTTATGCTTCGGATAATAACCTATCTTAAAGAAAACTAAAAAGCTTTAAAAAAGAGTCAGCAGAATATAATGGCATCTAAACAACTATTAATAATGCGACTAAGACAATTGCTAGTAAAAAGCTAAAGCCAATAAGGTTTAGGATCACTGTCAAATTACAGGTAAGTTTTATAGATCAGCCTATAGGAATTGTAATCTCAAACTCAAATACAGGATTGGAAGATTCTAATTTCAGTTATCTTCCATAACTTCCGAGATTACAACTCTCACTTAGTTTGTGAGTCAGTTAGACGATCGGCTAATGCTTTTCATATCCAAGTTATAGCTGAAACATATGAGCGATATAAGTCTATGAAGATAGGTTAGCTTAATATATTGATAGCATGCAGTTTATGAATAGTAGCTTGGCCAGTCTTACAAAAAATTTAGGTGCTAATCATCCAATAACAAGCTAGCATTTCAAAAAATTAGGCTATACAGATGAACAATTAGCCTTAGTTTTATGTAAGAAAGTCTATCCTTATGACTATATTGATTCGCAAAATAGATTTAAGGAAACAGAACTCCTCCTATATCACAAATTTCATAGTACTCTTAAAGGTAAGATCTCATAAAATAACTATCAATACGCCTAAAAAATATGGAAGATATTTGAATGTAAAAATCTAGATGAGTATCATGATATTTATCTTAAGACAGATGTATTTAATCTTGCAGATATCTGGACAGTATTTCGAAAAATGTCTATGAAATATTATAAACTTGATTCCAGTCACTATGTTTTTGCTTCATCACTATCCTAGAATGCTCAACTTAGGATAACAGGAGTTAGAATCAAACTTTTCACAGATATGACCATGCATGATTTTACTGAAAAAGCTAAACATGGTGGTATATCTATTGCTATACTTGCTTGAATTAATAATCGAATTATTTTGTAGATTTAAAATAATTTGCTGGGAATTTATTTTTCTAGCCTTTTATTTTTAATATCGATTAAATACCCAGATCTGGTTAAATTCTGTCAAGTTAGTCTTAGCCTTGTATCTTCGATTTATTAGTCAAAGTGCCACCTTTTCTTGTAATAATATATGGTTATACCTTTCTGCTCTCTATATCCTAAGCTACTATACCCAATGCTCATTTACTTCATTATTTAGAGTTTGTATTAAAATTTGGTTGTCATTTTGTGATCTTGCTCAGATTTCTTGCAATTATTGCCCTAGAGTTCTGGCTCATTGAATACTTTGTTTTACTACCATATTTCAATCTTGCCAAAACTGATGAATTGTACTAGTATAAGTAATAATATTAGTCAAACATATTCCAACTCTATCAAATTGCCCTCTTATATTATCTGGAAGTATAACCCCTGCATTATCCAAATGTATCTGAATTTTTGCTAAAGAAGCTGAAGCCTCAAATCGCCTATCTAAAATAGCTTGTATTATATGTTCCATATCCAATATTTTTTTATTGTTTGAAACTTTATTTGACTTAAACAGTTATTTCATAAATATGGGTCTTAAGTTGCTCAATCTTATCTTATATCCATAAAATATTGATATCTTGGACAGTACTAGCATTACCTTTATATCTTAAATCCTGCAATGTTTTTGAAGGGCTGTTTAAGAGATTTGATCTCAGTCTTAAGAGATGCTATCTCATCTTCATGAATTAAGATTGTAGAGTCATGTTGTAATATAGTTTTATAGTATGCATCTAGTCCTTTATTAAGTGTTTTAAGCTTTTTATTGGAAATATTATTTGAGACTATTTCATCTACCAATTCTTTATGCAACTCTTTATTAGTATCAAGGATTTCGATATAAGCCAGGTCTATATCATTAATTTCTATTATACAAATAGATTCGAGTAAAGCTAGAAATTTAGATATATTTATTGATTTGCAAAAGATTTATTACCGGCCTTCAGGTTATCAGAGGACTGTGAAAAAATTGCATGAAGCTTCTCTAAAAGCTGAGTTTAATTTTACCTTAAATGAAGTACGTGATTGGCTTGAGAGACAAGATGTATATCAGATTCATATGCCTCAACCAAAGTTTATCTAATATGCTTCTTTTAATGATATACAAATTTTTAATAAAGTACATCAGTCTGATACTACACCTATGCCTTATGACAAAGTAGGTAATCAGATTTATAAGTATAGAAGTATAATAAAAGATGATGCAACTAGCTTTTGACGTAGTTTTGCTTTGATCAATTAAACATCTGCACAAATAGCTAAGAAAATTCAAAAAATTTATGATAATCCAAACTGCCTTCTTACTTATCCTAAAACTTTTATTATAGATAGAAATACTGAATATATAAGCGAATGTAAGGATTTATTGTTTAGCTATGATATAAAAATTCAGTATGCTAACTCTAAACGTGAAGTAGCTATTGCTGAATGTGATCATCAAGATTTTGAAAAGCATGCTTATTTTCAGCAAGATGCTGTGGATTTTTATTTGCCATTATCTGAAAGATGCAGAACATGTGTCAAAGGTCTTTATATAAATGATGATATTTTTAATGATACTTCTACTTATTTAATAGGGATGTTTCCTAATGAAGCTATAAAAAAAGCATTAAAAGGTAAAAAAATAATAGCTAGGCCTGCTATTAAACATAGGAGACTAGTTGGTTATAATGAATCACTTTTACCTAGCTATACTGAAGTTCGCCATCTATTAGAATCTGGTAAATTAGAAGGTTGGAAAAAAAGAGTAACTGATTGCAATTGGTCTTCTGAAGTCTTTATGATTGATACATATTTGATAAGAAATCAACCAGTTCTCTATAAACTTTATAATAATCCTAGATGCTATTTTGTGAGAGAAGAACTCCAAATTGTTTCATCAGATATAATGTTACCACCTAAATATATTCTCAAGCATTAAACTTACCTCTTCTTTCCTCTACTTAATATAAATTTGCTTAAAAATATTACTTAAATAGTCATTTATTTTAGCTTGATTGTAAACTATAATTTGCTTATTTCTGAGCCAGTCTCTTCATAAGTTCTTTTCTTTTCCAAGCTTTTCACTTTCAGGCTTATCATCTATAAGAAATTTGATAAGTGGATATAAAGCAAACTTGAATTGTCCACACTTATTTAATTCCTTTTCAAGTACTTCATTAAACTACTTTCTTCAGCTTTCTAACATTTTTCATATATGACTTTCATTATCAGGATATGATTTTGGAACTTTTGCGTGATGTACAGCTATAGCTCTTCTTCTAAATGCTATGATTAATTCTTCTTGCTCCCTAAATTCTAGGTCTCTTTCTTGTCTGTCAGTAATTTCTCATATGCGACTAAATTCTTCATTAATATGTGTTTTAGATTCTGGAATGGTTTGTGAATCAACTTCTGAAACTGGGTTTGGTAAAACAGGCTCTAGTCGAATATATCCTATAATTCCATCATTTTCCCATCTCCTTTGCACTTGATGACCTCCTATATGTTTCTTTTCTTGCAACACTTCTGGACCACTTATAATAAGATTATTATATTTGACTTCAATAACCTCTTGAAGTCTTTTTCTTAATCTTAACTAGCTTTAATCTTGCTTTATACTAGTAAGTTCATCAATTTTATTTGTAAGACGAGTTGCCTATTCTTTAAGACTTTCTTTTGGATGCTTATTTATAGCTAATCTTGTTTGCATTTGTTGATTTCTTAAAGGCAGTTTTTTAACTTCTATCAAAGGTTCAGGTTCAGAAATTTGATCGTTTTTTTTATAAATTTGAATTGGTATTTGAACAGATTCTTGGAATACCTCTTAAATGAACTGTTGGTTACTTTCTTGAATAGGAAGTACTTAAATAGGAGCTTGAATAGATGTTTAAATAGGCATTTGAATAGGGGGTTGAATAGGAGTATCAGTTTTGACTTTACATGGATTTTTTCTTCTAAGATGCTCATAAAGTTTATTAGGATTTGCTAAAATTCTACTACAATAATCACATGTTATATCTTTTTTATTACTTCTAATTTTTCTAACTATGATGTTAGCTCTTACTTTCATACTATTAATTGCTTATAAAATTTTTTCTTTAATTAATTAATTCTTATACTTATCAAAATGATTGGTGAATATTCATGTCTTATCTCTACAACTTTGGAATGGCTTGTAAAAGAGCTTGTATTAAGCCTGAAGAATGTCAATTTTATTGAAAAGCTAAAAAATGAGTATCTTGTTCTGATTGTGATAAATAACTGCTTCTGCTTGTAAACGATGTTCATTACATATCAAGGGATATTATATGGTTTAATACTATAATAGATTGCAAGCTAAAGCTTTAAACTAAGATCAGAATTATAACAGATTAGTACATTGAGATAAGTTATATTTATTGATGAAGGACTTAAGATTGTGATTTTATTGCAAATTTAATTAGATTTAATTATCGATATGCTATTTATTTGGCTAATCTGCCTTCAAGATAGTTTCTGTTATATATTTTTTGTATGATTTATTGAGAGGGTATTGGGATAAAATTTCATATAATATATTTTTTATTATATTTCTCAATCTCTGAAAGCTACTAAACATAATTCCTGATATATTTTTTTTGTATGACTTATGAGAGAAGAAATAGGACAAATTTTTTTCGTATAAATTATTATAAGAGGAATTAGGACAAAAAATCTTTATTATATTTTCTGACTTCTGAGAGTTATTAAGCATAATTTCTGATATATATATTTTGTATGACTTTTTATTAAGAAATTAGAAAAAAAAAATTTTTCGTATAACTTATTATAGGAGGAATTAGGACAAAAAAATCTTTATTATATTTCCTAACCTCTGAGAGTTATTAAGCATAATTCTTAATATATATTTTTCGTATAACTTTTTATTGAGGAGTTGGAAAAAAATTTTTTGTATGACTTATTTACAAATTTTTGTATGATTTATTTTTTTCATATGACTTATTATTGGGAAAATTGTGACAAAATTTTTCGTATGATTTCTTTTGTATGATTTAAATAAAATTATGCTATTTAATAAGCTAGCCAATGCAGAAACAGTTCCTGATATATTATTTTTATAAGACTTATATTTTATTTATATTGAATTTAGCCAGCTGGAAGATGTAGAAGTTGTTCTAGTATAGTAGAAAAATCAATATAGATTTTACGAGTGAACAGAACACACAATGATAGTGGTAGTAAAGAGAGTTTATCCTAAAACCCCACAATAACATTGTGTTCAGTAATAAATAGCAAACTTCCATATATAAATCTATTATTAAAAATTGCTTTTAATTTTTTATAAATTTTATTTTAATAATTATAAACTATATTTTTAATAAAATTATAAATAAAATATAATAAATAATTTTTTAACTATTTATAAATAATTAATTTAATAATAATTTACATCTTTTATTTCAATACTTTTAATATTTAAATCTTCTATTAAATTAAATAAATATATTAATATTATGAAATTTAAAAAATAATTAAAATTAATATATTTTATAAGTTTAATATAATATAAATAATTACCAATACTTTGACTAATTTCTGAATCTAAAATATTATTTAATTTTTTGGAAAAATTAAGTATTTAACTAGTATAATATTCTTGTGAATATGATTTAACAATAACTTCATTATTATTAACAAAATTATTATTTTGTATTTTTTTTTTTAATATCTTATCTGCTTTATAAAATTCTAAAATATCATCCTTTGATTCTTTTTCAAAATTTTTATTAATGATATTTTCTTTCCAATTTCCAATAGTCTTTTTAATTTCTGATGCAGTTGATCTTTTTAATGAATTCATATCCAACATTTTTTCATTAAATTTATATAATAATGTGGAATATTTTAAATAATTTTAGGACGTTTGCTTTTGCAAATATGTAATACTAATAGAAATTCATAAGCTTCATTACTAAGTGAAGGAATTTCATATATAAATTCCCACATAATCATAGAAAAGCTATAAATATAGTATAAAGTTGACCTCTTAAAACTTCAGGTGCTACAAATTATAAAACACCATAAATATTATTATTTTTAAATGATTGAAAATATTCTACAGGTTTATATAATCCTAAATCACTAATAGATAAAAATTTTTTCCTAATATTTAAAATATTGTCATGATGAAAATCACAATAAATAAGATTTTTTGATTATTTTATCAAGTCCATTAATAATATTATTTAATTGTACTAATCTTTAACTATATTTAATAAATTTTTTTTAAATTACTATTTTGTGTATATTTTATTACTAACATATAATTTAATGTATTTGTATCTTGAGTAAATTCATATAATTGAATAAGGTTTTCATTTGAATATCTTTTTAATTGACTAAAATATTTATAATGATGTTTTTACTAAATAATAAAAATTTGTTTAAAATTTATAATTTAAAATTAAAATAATTATTAATTTCATACTTTATTTAAAAATTTTTTATTTAAATTAGATGACTTATCAAGACATTTAAGAGATACTTCAATTTTATTACTTCTAATCTAATTTTTATTATTATATGAATAAGATTTAATACATCCATCTAACCAATTAGCTTTATATATAGTATTAAATCCTCCTTTATCAAGAAATTCAATATTTACTAATTTATTATAAGAAATCCATTCTAATCTTTATATTTTTAGTATTCTGTTGAATTTCTTGAATAAATTTATTAATAAATTTATTTTTACTGATCTATTTAGTAAAATAATGTTGCAATAATATTCTTTACATCATTTATATTCAGTATTTTTGTATTACAAATTGAACATATTCCTTTTTTTCTAAATAAATATTTTATATTATTAGTATTATTATTACAATTTTATTATAATTTTAAAATTAAACTTACTAAATTTATTAAATATTATTTTATATATTAAAACAAAATTACAAATATTAAATAAAAATAATTTACTAACTAATAATAATATATTTTTTATAAAAAAATTAGTTAAGTTTAAATTATAGTAAAAAGTATAATTAAATACTGATAATCAATAAAAATAACTTACATCCTTTAGTATTTTTTAATTTTTAAATAAAAAATTTAGTTGAGTTTAAATTACAGTAAAAAGTATAATTAAATACTATAATCAATAAAAATAACTTACAATTTATTATATTATTAATCGTTAATTATTTTTTAAATAAAATTTAGTTGAATTTAAATTTTATTAAAATAAAAAGTATAATATTAACTTTTTATAATATTAATAATATATTAGTATTTTTGATTGATATTGTAGTAGCAATTATAGTTAATTTTATTAATAAACATAACTTACGTTTTATAAAAATTTGGAGAGTTAAAATTATTATAAAAATTATAATTAAAAATTACATAAAAATAACTTACTGACTAAAATACCATTAAAATTTTTTTAAAAGAAATTAGTTATGTTTAAGTTGCAATAAAAAAATTATAGATACTTTACTCTATAGTATTTTAATCATTAGATATTATTTATTAAAAAATTTAATCAAAATTTAATTATATATAAAGTAAAATGGCTTATATTCTATGTATAAATAAAAATTAAATTAAATTTTATTTTAAAAATTAAAATATTATTTTTGACTAACAATAGAAAGATTATTCTTTACCATCCAATCCTTCTAATATTTTGAACATAGTTAAATTAGAATATTTGTTAAATACATATAATTGTTATTGTATTTACCTTCATCATCACTCGGAACTAATTCTATATTTAAATTTTAAATTAATAAAAATTTTTAATTAACGAATTGCAGTATTATACCCAAGGTTAGTTTAACATTCATTACAATTTTCGTGGTATTGGTTAATTATTTATGTTTACCTTCATCACATGAAGCTGATTCTATGTTTATTTGATAAAATAATATAAATGAGTAATGAATTATTATAATACTTAAATGTGGCTAATAATACATGGAATTACCGCTACCTTCTATTTCTTCTAATGAGGATACTTCCATAACATCCGAAAATGACTCTGTGAATTTGTGAAATAAAATTTTTTTTAGAACCATTTAACCGTCAAATATACTCAACGAACGTGCTAAGTTTTATTTCCGTTATTTTTGTTGATGGAAATATATATATATATTTTTGGCATTTCTATTAAACTTTTACCTTTATTGACACTGTCAGACATTGTTATTATTTTTAAAAGAAAGCTTTTTTTTTAAATTAAATAAAAATTTTTTTTTTTAAAAAATTATCTTGTATAACGATAATGGTGATACATATTGTGTCAGATCTTACCTCGGTATTTAAATTTTATCATAACTTAATTATTGTATTTTTTTTTTTTTTGAGAATTGACTAGGCGGCATGGCATGATACATACTAAATTAAGCAATTTTCCACCTTATAGTTAAAAAAAATAAATTTCAAATTTAGAAATTATAAGTATTGCGTCTTAGCTACATCAATAATTCTTTATTTAATTGATTTGATATTTTATTTACCTTCGGCTGCAATTGTACTTTCTGATACTTTATGCTAAAAAAGTTAAAACAAGACCTTTATTTTATGAAATTTACGTCACTCTGTAAATATCAACTAATAATAGTTTAACTGTAAAGTCAAGAGTCATCAAAATAGATTATTCTAGTTCGAAAATTATAACGTGCTCTCTGATTATAAACTTTCATTTCATATTTGGAAATAAATATACGGAATAAGTCTCGATTTTTATATTTTTGATTAATATTATTTGAAATTGTTGAAAAGATTATCGTAATCAATATTTGATAAAATTGGAAAGAAATCTGCGGCACCTCAAGATGGAAAACAAGCTGAAATATGATGGAAATATACTGAAGAATTAATTAATTCTAAACTTTGTTAGCTTTACATTTATTATTTGTTATTATTTAAAATTTAGAAATTTATGAAATGCTTGATAACATAAAAATCTGTTAAGATTG